TCTTTGTTCTGCTGTGTGTGGTTGTGATGCTGTAGAGATGGGAGTGTCCTGTTCTTTCTGCCTGGCTGGCCCCCTTGCTTGCAAAAGTGTGTGTGTATGTGTGTCTCTGTTGCTGCATGCACTTCAAATAAGTCAATTTTCTTCCCAGACACCCACACTCTCTTCATGTGCACACACACTTTCTCTGTGGCAATCTGATCTAATTTTTGCCCTCAGAGGAAAAACATAGAATGTTCTAGTATTATAGCACCTAAAAAAGTCCCTCTTTAAAAAAAAATTAAATAAAAACCGTGTGACCTAAAAGTTTGACATTGCAGTGTGTTAATAGAGGCCTGGCCTTACCGCAGCAGCCTGGGTTCGATTCCAATTCGCTGCATGTCATCCCCCCTCTCCCCTTTCCTGTCTATCTTCACCTGTCCTATCAAATAAAGGCATAAAAATAAAGTACCCCAACTACTTACTAACCAGTATCTTTAGATGCTATTTTTCCTTAAGTTGTCTCATCTAACCCTCGGAAAGAAAAGTGAATAAAAGTATTTCCCTAAATGTCGACCTGTTCCATGAACTGTTTGAGCCACGCAGCAGCTACAGAAGAACAAACAGTCAGCTTAAAACTCTATCATAAATAGGAACTCACACAGTGATTCAGAAGATGATAAACCAGATAATAAGACCAGTAAATAATACAATAAGTTCCTCAGCTTGTAAATGTAAAAATAAAAAGACAGTACCGGCCTGTCTACTCTTGGCGTTATGTAACCTGACTAGGCTGTTAAAACCATTTCAATTCAGGAAACCATATCAGCACACTGTGAAAACTGTCTGGTACTTTGCTCCGGTCCGTCACGCAGACAGCAGTGGTGACGTCTCAATCCAGCAGTTTTGAATATATTTGTTAATGTATCACTAACTCTTGTGGTGGCAGGACATAGTTTTCATCCCTCTGTGTCTATTTTCAGCCGTTAGAATGACTGGTGATGTCTTTATTTCCACACTGTTTTCAGTGTATTTAAGTCCTCAGTTGCTCCCTGTAGCCTTGCAGAGGTCAGATTATTTCCATAGCCAGAGTTTCAACATAAGTTTGGTCATGTTGCGTACATTTTCCTGTCCTTCTCTTGCCACAGTGTCAACATTTTTCCCTCCCCTCTTTCAAACTTTCCTAATGTTCCCTGTGAAGTTTCATCAGGTCTCTGGGTGTGTTTGATCCCACCCTGCTCTGTAGTCCCGGTATCACGGCTGGTTGAGCTGCAGATCAGATTGAATCAGAAGGAGGAGAGTTGACACTGCTGTGCTTCCTCATCCATGACGGAGGAATGACAACATCTCTCTTTCACTCTTCCTTTTTTCTCGCAATGCCATCACTCGACCATCTCTTCCTTTTTCCCCCTTTCCACCCTGATCAGGATTTTTTTCCATCCACCAGTTCAGTCAGGATTACTGTGGAATATATAGAAATGTTACCTGAAAAAAACTGTGCTGCTGCTGCTGGAAACGCAGAGGACACAGCCAGAAGCTGTTAAATATGTTATCAGATAACATGGGACCTGTTATCTTATCTGCAGTGTAACTGTAGACCTGCAGGCTCAGAAACATGAGAACCAGGCTCTGGTCATGGTGTGTGTGTGTGTGTGTGTGTGTGTGTGTGTGTGTGTGTGTGTGTGTGTGTGTGTGTGTGTGTGTGTGTGTGTGTGTACTTTTGTAAAATTAAGAATTAAGGGTGCACAGTAAAGTAAAGAACAATAAAGTTGCTTCCTAGAAATAGAACTAACCCATGTGAGGAAAAGACGTGTGTTTCACAGACCCTTGATCTGAAGGAAAATATATTTATAGATGCGCAGTATTCAACGAGTCAAACTTTGGTATAAAATATTAGCCAGACGAATACTTTTTTCCCAGCCTCAGGCAGTGCTTCCCCAGTTTGTTAAACTGACAGTTGTGGATGCTGTTTGCTGGCTACTGCAACTTGTAATTGGAGGCAACTCAGACACATTTCAGGCTGATGATTATCAGTTTAGGCAAGTGTTTGACGAACTGACTCAGCATTTTGTGGGTCATGCTGTTCAGGTATCTAATTGCTGTTTTATGCTGCTATTTGGTACTTTACAGTAACTGTAATCAGTCAGGGCGAGTCAGTGGCGGTTCAGACAGCAGACGGACAACCCAGGCAAATTGTGTAGTTTAGTGAAGTTTAGGCAACTAAGACAAACACCTGAATGGAACTTTTACACAGCAGACATTTTGACTTATAGATGACTAATATATGACTAAAAGCAAAAACAGTGTTACTAAGTGTTACTAAGAACATTAACAATGGCTCTATTATATTCAGGTGTACCAAGTCATTACAGTAAGTTCCATCCAAATTTAGTGCACATTTCTTTCTGTAATATGGACCAAAAACTAGTAACTGTCCCAGATTAATAAGGATATTTTGTTGTTGTTATTGTTAAATTCTGTCCAAAAATTCCCATGTAACTGCATGAAAACAAGATTATACACGTGAAAACACAGGTACGCTGTCTCTGCCCTAATTAGGGATATAAGAGTATCTTTTTGAATTATTACATCACTTAGCCTCCCAGAGTCACAATCTCCATAGGCTGAAAAGTGAGTGTAATTACACTTTAACACAAGTCTATTTTTATCCTACAAAAGGCTTTTGTGTTGCAAACTTGTTTGGCAAATCAGACAACGTTTCCTCTTTCTGGCAGTTCAGGAATCACTCGTGCAAATGAAATGAGGTGTGATATTCAGTGTTATGAGCTCCCTCTCAACAGTCTAGCATGAATTAATTTCCATCTTTCTCCATCAAATGGAAAAATGCAACTGAACGCTGCTCAGCTAAAAGCCTGATCCAATAGTCCCAACATCTGTTCAGCCTCCAGCCAGAATCAATGGTTCCATTATCAGACAGGCCGATTGATCAGTGGGGTTTCGAGCCATTAATAGACTGTTTGCATCCCGATAAACTGATGTTAAAGTGGGTTAGGAGACTGGGGGAGGGAGGGAGGTAGGGATTTAGGGAGAGAGCGAGGAGAGAAGAGAGAGGGAAGGACAGCGGGCGATGAAAAAATGAAAAGGTCAGGAAACAGGAGTGAGAGGGAGGGAGGGCAGAGAGGATGAAGGGACAGAAAGAGGTGAGGTGAGGGAGGCAGGGATGGATGGATGGGGGACTGACTGACTTGTGGAAATCAAAATAAGCAAATACCCTTCATGTTGACTCCGCCTGGACATGAGAGGAATTATTTAGAAAAGTCATCATTGCTGGAAGGTTACAGTATTTGAACAATTCACTTCAAATATGTCATCTGCCCTCCTTTCTCGCCTTTTCTTTCCTTCCATCCCTCCATTTTTTTCTTTTGTTGTCAGTGGTTCGTTGCAGAGAGAGTAGCCTGTTTCCATGGTAACGGACTGAGCCAGATGAGCTGAGCTACTTGCACTGCAGCGTCTGTCCTGACTCTGTGTGTGTGTGTGTGTGTGTGTGTGTGTGTGTGTGTGTGTGTGTGTGTGTGTGTGTGTGTGTGTGTGTGTGTGTGTGTGTGTGTGTGAGAGAGAGATTGGTCTTGGCTCTAAAGAGAAGGAAGGATGATGATTTATGTGAGTCTAATGCACTGGGCAGACACTCGGATGAACAGTGTGTGTTTGAGTATGTGTGTGAGCGGAGTGCTTATTAGCAATGCAACCCAGTCTTTGGTCCATGTCATTATTTCTCATATGTATGCTTTTTTCTCTCTCTCCGTCTCTTTCTCCTTCTCTTTATCATTTCAATTCAATTTCAATTCAATATGCTTTATTGGCATGAATGTCAGGTGAAATATTGCCACAGCGTCAACAATAATCCAGCTTAATGAGATGAGATATCTCTCTCTCTCTCTGTTCTTACACTTGAACTGTACCTCCTCCTCATACCTGTAATTCCACACTCTTATCAGTGTCGCCGTGGTGATCAGAATTGTAGGAATGATCAACATCACCATAGCAATTACACCTGGTGCTCAACACAAGAGGGAGAGGGACTGTATCATATGACAATCATACTAAACCGGTTAAAATAAACATAAACAAGCCGTCCTCGAAGGAGGAGTTTGAAAAAAAATGTTGGGGAAATTTATTTTGGAAAAATAGGCTAATTTAGTTTCATGCTGAGAGCAAGATGAGAAGATGGATACTGCTCTCATATCTGCCGTATATCCATTAAATAGGAAGCTAGGGTCAGAAGACCGTCAGCTTGACTTAGAGTCACCTCAGGGTGATGACAAGACTCCAGAAAGTCACTAAATCAGTATTTGTTTTAGAAACTGATTTCACATTTCCTGGCTGTAGCTTCATATTTTAACAGATAGACATACGAGTTCAATCTTCAATCCATTGATCTTCTCATCTAACTCTCAAATAAGCAGATTTTCCTAAATGTCAAACTTTTCCTTTAAAGAGGTATAACAAAAGGCATTCTTTGTAAATAAACCAGTTTGAGCTGTCAAGACTCCCATGCATAGCGTTGCCTTCAACATCCTGAAAAGTGACAACGTTTCCTTAATTGCACTGGAACTGTTTTACCTGTTTGAACAGGCACCCAAATGCATTATTGTCCGATGTCGGCCAGCAGCTGGCGGTTGAGATAATGACTCAGAGATGAGATAAAGGTGAAGTCATATGGTGGTTAGTGGTCAGTTTTGTTTTGTAACACTTGAAACAACTTGTAATGGTGAGTGCCCTTGAACATCTCGTGAGTCAGTGTATGAAAACAAAAACAGTTTTCGACATTTTAATGAAAGACACTTTACATATTCCAGATTTAAAAATGTATTTTAGTTTTAAATGTCTGCACACATATATGAAGGTTTTGAGTGTATATTGTGATTTAGGTTTAAATCCCACCTTTCTTTCCCCCTGCAGGTCACTCCCTCTGTTCTGCTTCATTTTTCATCTCAGTGAAACAGCTCACAGTCGATGTGGTGTCACATCTTACTAATGAGACTCTATGTGTGTCTGTGTTGCAGAACTCCCAGAAGAAAAGAGGAGCACGACCCAACAACAAACCTGACAAGAAGCTTGGTCCACAGGTAACACACACACACACACACACACACACACACACACACACACACACACACACACACACACACACACACACACACACACACACACACACACACACGCTGCTATGTTTTCCCCCAGATGGACCAAAAAATCAATAAGAAAAGCAAAGTGTAGTTTCAACTTAACAAGAGGGACTTTTATTTAACACACCACACACACACACACACACACACACACACACACACACACACACACACACACACACAGAAGGATGTAACACAATCATGAATAACAAATAGTTAAGTGTGTTGAGTTGAAACATCTGCAGTACATGATGGAGGGAAGAAGAAGAAAAGAAGAGACTGAAAGTTAATGAAGACAGAGAGGGATTTGGAATTGGAGAAGAAGAAGATGAGTGAGTTTGAAAAAGAAGAAGACGGGATGAAGGGAGAGATGTACAGAAATTGACTGACATCAATATTGCAGTACCAAATAAATCACCAATGAAACCACTGAGTGTTTTTTCTGTTACCCAAATAGATGCTAGTTTAAATTCTTAATATTTATTGCCGTTCTTAAGCTGTAAATCCATTTATCCACCACAAGTTTCTCCTCATTATTAAAGATGATTGTGCCGTTCTGCTTTATGTAACAGTATATTCATTATTCAATATATTCTTTATTATTAGATCAAATACGTTACACAGTTACACATTTCAGTTACATAAACAACAGCAATGTTGAAAGATAACAGCTAAAAAGATGAAATGTAGATAACAAGTACCATCATGTATTTGGTGTAACTTTTTTTGGTGTCAGCATCGCCCGAAGCAGCTGTCATCTCTCCAGAAATATAGTTGCATGTACCATAGGTGGCAGACCACAGGAACTTTTACTTCCTACTACATGTTTCAACATTGAGTAAAACAGAGAACAGACTTGCCTCCAAATTTTAAGAATCAGAGTCATTTAGAAACCTGCTGAATCCTTCCTCCAGTCAGCTCCTGCAAGGACAGTTTATTTCTTCATCAATAGATATGGTAGGTACAGTTGAGATAAAGTGAAATGTAATCAGTTTGTGAAAAGAATTATGTGTTTTTATGACCCCATTATAATGTTTTACAATCAGCTACAGCATTTTGTTCAATTAAAAACAAATTTAAATTTTAGTAGTCACAGAATACCTTTTCATTTATGACAAGAACCAGAATCAGGAGTCTTAGCAGAACCAAAACAATTTAAATAATGAGTGAGGAAAAAAATATCTAATCTATTTATTTTCATTGTGGTCCAGTAGATGTGTATATGGAGCAGACAGGAAAATGTCATTCAAATATAATTAACATGTCAATTAACACTGTAGCAAACCTGCTGCTTCTTTTATTCTTTTAATTCCTGCTTCAAACACAGATTGAGATCAAACTCCACACGTTAACGTTGCCAGGGTCACCAACCTCAAATGTCATGTTGTCACCTTGCATGTTTGATCCTTTCAGTGTGTTCCTGCCTCACAGCTCATGATTGTGCTGCCTGTGTGTCTCTCTGTGACCTATTTCCTCTGGGGATCACGCCATACTTCCAAACAAGCAGTTTGAAGCTGATAGATCAGCAGTTCCTGCATTCACCCTCTCCTCCACATCATCTCTGTGTCTTTGCTGCCCTCCGTCTTGTCCCGCAGGTGTTTGTACTTAATGTAATCCCTGCGTACCCAGTTTGTGTTCGTGTTCGGATTACAGCTCAGGTCTCAACATCACAATTTAAATCTCTACCCACTCTTCATTCTGCCTCCCTTCCTCCAGAGACACCGAAAAAGTGGAGTTTGAAAAAAATAACTACTTTTTCCTTAACTAACTCTTTCTAAGTCTCCCTCCCTTCTTTATTTTTCCACGTCACTAAAGTAGTGCAGACACTGCTGAAATAACTTTTTCTCCCTCTGTGAAAAAGGCACTACAGGAGATGGAGGTGTATGAGTTCAGGTTTTACAGAAGAACAAAGTAGAGATGCAGATTAAAAACCTACAAGACTTATCACCACAGAAGGTGTTTGCGGTGAAGGTAATTCTCTCTCGGCTGCCGGGCTACACGAGGCCCAGGCTTCCTCTCCAAGCTGCATACCATAAATGGCTGTAAATCGTTGGCTCTTGCCTTCCTTAATGTGGTTGGAAATGCTCCACAGGCTGTAAAACAAATACAGCCACAGAGCTGCTTCTGAGGAATGGGTGCACAGGGTTATATCAGGTCAGCAGAGAGAGAAAGAGAGAGAGAGAGAGAGAGAGATACATACATACAATACCCTTTGTCAACAACAACAATAAAAATCGATTGAATCTATTAAATTAGGACATGATACTGCAGTTAAGTTATATATGGTTATCTTGTGAGCCTTGAACAGCTCCTAAAAAGGGAGCAGCAAATCATCCCCGTTGGACAGTGTCTATATATTTTCAGGTTTAATGCTGCATCAACTGTTTTTTGGCCACTAGGGGGCAGGTGCCTACTTGCAAATCTAGCAGACACGGAGCCACATCAGCATTTATTTGAATGAGCATAAGTCCAATATTCACTCTCCTTTTCACTCTGTTTTGTTCTCCACCAACTGCAGAGAAAAATATATTGCTCTTCAGCTGCTAAATGTCGCATTCTGTTCACCAGCTAATCGCTAACTTTGTCTGTCTGACCCCCTTGACAACAGAGTCATTTGATTCAGTGTTTAGAGTATGTATAAACTATATGTTACTTCTAATAAAATAACTAACACATTTTCTATTTTACAAACTAAAAGCAATAGTAACATAAGCAATAATATATACCATTGCACCATAAGCTCTAGGGATACCAAGTAAGGCAGTAGCAATGTATAAAATTGATACATTACTTACTTGGTATCCCTATAACTTATGGTTAGCTGTGTAACTAACATAATTTGTGCCATAGTCCAGCTATAAAGCTTAATTTCGCTTATGGGACATTTAAAGTACAACAGTATAATACTGCTTCAACTACTCTAAGTAGTATAACTAATTTGCTCTTTATTTTAGATTTGAGTGAGTTAGTAAATATTCATTTCAGATTCTAGATGACATCTGAGGCAGAATGAAAGTTTTCTGGAGTTTCTGTTTCCATTGCATTTTTTGCAAAAGCATCGTGAGGAACAAACGCAGCATGACTCTCACCTCACCATTTGGTGGCTGAAAGCCGCAAGTTAGTCAAATAGCTCTTTGTCATTATCGTTCAAGTTCAAGTTGAAGGCGATTTTAAATAGAATGAAAAGCCGATTCATCCCAGTTGAGTTGCAGTGCTATAATGGGCTGTGGCTTGTGTTCAGCTGACAGAAAGCACAAACTTCAGTGCATCCTATAATTGCCAGAGATGATGCCCAAACATCAGTCCGGATTGACTTAAAGGTTGCAGATTCTAAGTCGAGCAGTTCACTCCTGCATGAAGTGATCTGACTGGTCAGCTTGTTGTGTGTGTTTGAATGTGTGTCTGCCCTGTTCCCATGCATTTATCCATCTGTCTGCAGCTTTTACTTTCTGTGCTTGTCAGGTTCCCTGTCCATCTATATATAACCTCTTTCTCAGGGTAGACTAATTGAAGTGTCCTCTCTTCTTTGTGTGTCTGTTGTCTTAACTGTAAGATGACAGTTCAGATTTGGCACATCATATCTACTCTCCATCCAAGTTGAGGGGAAAGTCGTGTGCATCTTTGTCTCTGATCATTTTCTATCCTTTTACTCTGAATTATAGCCAATTGGACAAAAGGGATATTGTTTAATCATTTATTTTCTTTCACTTGTTAATTTTAGTTTTTAAAAATCCAAAAGGATTGATTGCTCAACTATTGCAATTGACAGAAGCTGGAACCTACAAATGTTTGGCTTTTTTATTAAGTGAATTACCTTAAAAGATAAATTATTAAAGCCAATTTTTGTGACTCATCATTCAATCTAGTTAGGGGTCTAAAATGGCAACAAAACTTTGCATGATAACAGATCTGTCTGTATGTCAGCCTCACTGTGATACAGCAGTTTTTTTTTGTATCGATGTCACCTCATTGCTCTCTTCTCTTTCTGCTCCGTCACTGCAGGAGGACAGTTCAGACCTGAAGTGTCAGCTCCACTTTGCCAAAGAGGAATCAGCCCTGATGTGCAAGAAGCTGACAAAGCTGGTGAAGGACAGTGAGGCCATGAAGGAGGAGCTGGCGAAGTACAGGTCGCTGTACGGAGATGTCAACGCCTCGCTAACCGTGGAGGAGGTGAGGATGAGGAAGACTGAATGCTTAGATTTTAGCTTTAGGGCCGTTTCATGCAGAAGCAAGAAGTTAGTCAGTTTTTACTTTGACATTGTCAAATAGTTATTAATGGGCAAATTAGTGGTTATTGAACAAGGCCATGAAACAGGAGCTGGTCAAGCAGAGTTCACTGTGTAGAGAACGGAGGAGGGTGAAGGAGAAGGGTTTTAATTTCATAATTTTCAATCTTTTCTTAGCGTTTAGCTCTGCATCTCTTAATGTTTGCCTGAAAGCTGCAAAACAGTGCCTCTTGGCTGTTATGGTGGTCATGGTTTGTGAAGTATCTCCTCCCTTTGTACCCATATAAAACCCAAATGTTACTATTTCCCCGTTGGCCAAAAACGTCTGGGAAAACTCTACGGCCAAAACACTCCAAAAACTCATTAAATCAAACTCACTTTTGAGCCGTTTCTAATACTGAAAAGTAAACATTAACAAACAGAATGGAGTCACGTATTTTTCTTAAATATGATCAGTTATTACAATTGAAGCACTCAAACTAGAAGAGTGTGAATGAACAGGTGAGTAAGGAAGTGGTTCTCCTTTCCTTTTGCCAGGTTGCTGACTCCCCCCACACCCGTGAGGCGGAGATCAGAGTCCACCTGAAGCTGGTGGAGGAGGAGGCCAACCTGCTGAGTCGACGCATCGTGGAGCTGGAGGTGGAGAACAGGGGGCTCCGAGCTGAGATGGACGATATGAAGGGACCCCAAGGTAGTTTTTAAACTCATCTCGTTGGTCAATTATACATTTCTTTAATTGATTTCTCAGAGACATGGAAAGCTCCTGGCCAAGAGAAAGTCATAAAACACACTGAGGCTGTCACTGGCTTTTCATTAAATAATGACTGACTACACTCCTATATAACTAGTTCAAACTTTGAAGCTAAGATAGGCTAACTAGCTAATTTAGATAGCTTGAAAAGTTTGCAAAGGTTTATCAGCTATATAGCTACATTTGACCTTTTATCTGACTTCTGAGATTTGAATGTCAAATCTGAAGCCAGCAGCCAGTTAGCCACTTAGCTTAGCACAAAGACAGGAAACAAGAAAGAACAGCATGTTTATATATATATTTATAAGATTCTGCAATTATTATTTCATACATATTAATGTTGCTTTCTCAATTGCTTGACCTCTCATTTTTTTTTGTCCCTAGATGGTCTTCAAGAAATTACTGGGGTTGGTGGTGGTCTCGGGGCAGGTCTTAGTCTAGGAGGAGGGGCCATGGTACTCGGGGGAGGGGCTTCATCTGAAAACGTCATGGAGCTCCAGAGACACCTCCAGTTTGTGGAGGAAGAGGCGGAGCTACTGAGGAGATCTCTAATCGAGATGGAGGAACAGAACAAACTCCTGATGAATGAGATTAACCGCTTTAAATCTGAACTCCCACCGCCAACGTCCACGCTGTCGTCCAACTCACTAACGTCGCTGACGGACGGGCTGCTCAACGACAGCCCGGTGCACTCCATACAGGAAGGGGCGGTGCTTATCAGCACAGACGCCCCGGCCCAGGAGGAGGAGATCAGATTGGCGAGGCTTCAGATTGGAGAACTGAGCGGGAAGGTAAAGAAGCTGCAGTACGAGAACCGAGTGCTTCTGTCCAACCTGCAGCGCTGTGATCTGGCCTCCTACCATGCTCCTTCCTCCTCCTCCTCCTCTTCCTCCTCACTACGACTGGCTTTGGAGACTGACGCAGAGGCCGGAGACTCAGCTGAGTGCCTCCCCACCAGGTAGTACCGTATTTTTGTGGGTGGAATGTGGTTCCATCTGATCATTCAAGGCATTCGAGGCAAAGTTGTTGATTTTTAATTGGGTGTAAATCTCCCCAATAGACAAAAATGCACTTAAATAAAGACAGTATATTTTTGATTATTTTGAATTCTATTGTGCCACATATTATATATTTTCATCACAGCTCTATTTTAAGATCCAAATTTAAAATAGATTTCATCCATGAACTTAATGAGAGATTAGAAGAACCCATGGCTGTCTAAGATTACAGTGCATCAACCACATTACATAAACCACACAGGGTTGTTCAGACAAGCAACCCAGACTATTGAAAGTTAATTCTTAAAACAGCAGTCAACAGAACAGTCTCACCCCAAGGTCCATTTAGTAGCTCGTCTGGAGCTATTGATGGTATCACAGGATGATCTTCAGCAGATCAAGTTTACCCAGTTATCACAGTTATAGATGTTCAAATTTCCACTTCTCTGAGAACTTTAAGGTCTTTCAGGATGAGAAGGCCTGAACGTGCTCTTTCTGTTTTTTTCATCAGCCCGCCCCACCGCAAAGAGCCAGTAGGGGGTGAGAATGACGCCCTGGAGATCAAGGAACGGAAAAAGAAGATCGAGGACAACGCTGACGCAACAACCTCGCTCCCTGGGTGCCTGGGGCAGAAGGACCATGATGCCTTGCTGGCCATGAGGGACCAGGCTCGCTTGGTTTCCACGGCGATACAGCTCCTGACCTCCCCCGAGTCTAACTGCCTCTCCTCCTCCCCATCCATATATCACAAGGTCTGCAGCAACGACGCAGCAGAGCCGTGTGACCTGGAGAAACCTCAGCCTCACAGCCAGGTACACGTCCTCTTCCACGATACTGTCAGATCAAAGAGTTAAAAAACCAAAATATTAACCGTGTGGTCCTTTTTAAATCCTTTTCTCACAATCCACTGAAACCCCTTTAGATGTAACATCCACTTAGTCCAGTGCACTTTTAAGATATTGTATGATAAACTTTATGGGCTGATAATAGAAATGCCCTTGAGATGCAGAAACATCCCTGTTGAGTAATGAGTTTACTAGAAACTGTTGGTAATGGTCTATATTCCTAATGATTATTTTCCTCACTGATTGATCTGTTGATTATTTGTTTTGATTGACAGAGCAAAAGTTTTGTTCGTAAGAAGTTAGAAAATAGTGAAAAAATTATCATTATAATTTCAAAGCCCAAGTTTATGTCTTACAACAGTCCAAATATACCCAAATATATTCATCTTACACTGATATTGAATAGAGAAAAGCAGCAAATCTTCACATCTGAGAAGCTGCAACCAGAGAACATTTGGCTTTTTACTTGATGAATCACTTTCAGCAACTAAACAAAAAGTCGATTATCAACATTGTTTCAACTAATGATTTCGGAGGTATTTCTGTCTGAATTAACAAACAAATTAACCAGAATTTTCTGCCATTTCCTTCCTTCATGTTGCTCTACAGGACATGTGTTCTCCTTCATTTTATATTCTATAACGGATAAGTCCAGTACAGTTAAGAGAGAATAAATAAGTTAAATAAGAGAAGTAGAATGTTTCAATTACTTGGACTAAAAGCTGCAGTAGGTAACTTTTATAAACTTTTTATTAACATTTTGTAGTATTTGTTGAAAAATGATATCCTGACAGTAGTACAGTCCTCCTAGTGCTCCTAATGGTATTTGCAAGAATCCACCGAGCCTGAACGTAAACAACCATTCAGAGCCTAGAATGAAAGTTGATGGTTGAGCCTCATTACCAGGTCGTCAAATACAGGTGCTTTGGGGGACTCAACCATCAACTATCTTAAATCCACCAACCCAAAGCGTCAGTATTTGATGACCTGACTGGTTGTTTTTTGTTCAGGCTCGGTGGATTCTGCCGCTTTAGTGTTTGTCACCAGAAATAAACAGATTTTCTGATGATTCAGGACGAGAAGTCACCAGTGTTTAATGAATGAGTCAGTCCATGTCTTGGTTCATTCATTATCAATGAATTATGTTTACATTAAAAGATAATATTGAAAGATTGTTCATAAAAGAGGAGAAACCACCAGAGTGAACAACACAGCCTCAGTGACAAATGTTTTTTATCTTCTGCTCTCGCATTTTTTGTTGCCCTGAGTTTTAAGCCACCAACTTATCATTTATCAGCCTGAGCCGTTCCCTCACACAGCCAATAATAACTGACAGTGTGACAAATTCTGTTATTTGTTTGCTCCCCAGATTTCAGAGCTGTCTGACCTGTCGGACCGGCCTCTGGTTGGTGCTCTGACCAGCAGGCTGCAGGCCCTACACACCCAGCTACAGGCCTTTGTGGAGCGGGTAGACAACCTGGGTAAACCCCCAGCAGGTGGGAGAGACCCTCAGGTGGAAGGAGCGTCTCCTCTGGCCTCACCTTGCGCCTCCCTGCCCTGCTCTGGAGACGGCCAGGATGGACTGAACACTGCTGAGGAGAAGGTACAAGAAACAAGAAACACACTCATCCTTTTCACTCCTCGTCACTCTGTCTCTTTCATTTATTATCAGCTTCTACTTTTGTTGGATTTTTCTTTTCTGTTGTCACTAGTTTGTTTTTCTGTTCTTCAGTTTTGTGTTTGATCCAGTGCTTAACCATTAGTTTGGCTGAATAACACTTCCAATCCCATCTAAACATACTGCTTTAGTTACTCATCACACTGGAGAATGGATTTACACAAGACGCTCAAATCTGATGTACCACCAGCAACAGGAAGAAACAAACATATAAGGCAATGTGAGATGATTGAAGACTAAATGTTGATTGAGATTCATTCAGATCTGTTGAAAAGAGAGAAAAAAAGCTGCTTTTTAGCAGTTACTGAAGTGCTGGGGATCTGAAAATGGCCGCCATAGTAGGCATGACATAAATCCTTTTGTCTCTCCTGTTCTTAGTCTTAATTAACCCGACGTGCTTCAACGGTGTTGAGAATGGACGCAAAGCTCACTAGTGACAAACGTACCAGTAAATGGGAAATTGTGGAAAAACATTGCCTTTGCTGTATTAAATGAATTCAGATTTGAGCTGCTGGTGTAAACCTCTCCATGCGATGCCACCCATGTCCTCTGCATGCTGTTAAATTGCCTCCTCACCTGGTATTTAGATGCTGTTTAGGCCTCAAATGGAGCCATTTGTTGCGACATAGTGAGGTTATACAGAGTATATATTTTCATCAGCATATCATAAAACTAATTCAACACACAGTCTGGGTTTACAGCTAGAGTGGTTGAGCAATAGTTACATTTATATCCATAGATTTATTTACATTTATAGCATTATCACATTTTTTATTTATAGCAAATAATTAACTATAACCATAGTATAAAAGCAGTATCTGACACTGTTTTAGTTTGAATATTTTGTTTATAAAATGAGTAAAAGTGTAGTGTTTGGTGTCCATCTGTTTTAGCTGCCACTGACACCAGATAGTGAGGGCTGTACTATGAACAGATTGGACAAGCCAGTCTTTTAAAATGACAGTTTGGTGTTTATAATAAGAGTAAAATTGGTAGAAACACAAGACTACAAAACCAAAGTTATAAAAGCCATCATTTCTATGCAAAGAAAAAATATTCAGTTGGGAATAAAATTGAAAGAGTTGTTCACACAGTTTTCTTAAAGCAGCAGATGAGACAGTGAGCTCGAGCTAGATTTCCAATCATACTTCATAACTCACATTTTCAGTCTGAAATGCTCCTCTGAGAAATTCTTGGATTGCAGCTGATTGTCAGTGATCTATTATTTATTGGTTTAGTCTGAACATCTACTGTATTTTCAGCTATATAATGTTCCACCTAAAATTCAGCCTAAGATCTACAAAGTTATAAAAACCTACATTGGACTCAGCAGAGACACCTGATGGCATATGTTCCTCTCGCCTTTGATTGTCAGGGACATGTTTAAATAAAACATTCAATTTGTTGAGGATCCATCAGTTTTTTTTTAGGAACAGTTTTACTAAATTGACTTGTTCAGATGGATATTTTTGCAATTTGGTTTACTGACTTTACAGCGAGAGAAACTTGTTACTAGTAAAACACTGTTTTATATTCTAATCTAATCTGATTTGCCTGTTTGGAGAAGTCTGTGGTGAAAAAGTTTTGAGAGAATACATTATAAAATGTTTAGACTCCATTAGAGGCCAATTCTGAGTCCCAACACCCCTCCGATCTCTCCTCCCTTTTCCTTTTTCTCTCTCCTTCCCTTCGTCCCTTCCTCCTTCCCTCTTTCCCTCTGCACGGGCACCATAACCGTCGGTTTCTGCACTTCACTTCCACGTCCCACTTTCCCTCCTTTTAAACCCCCTTTCTCCCACTCACCACGCCTCCTCCTCTTCGTCATTTCCCTAACTGCCTCCCTCTTTTCCCTTTCGCTCACCTCACATCCCTCCTTCCCACTCCCTCTTCTCTTTCACCTTGTTGCTCCGTCGCTCCTTCGCTCTGACCTTTCATTCTAACCGCCTTACTCCTTCTCTTGCCCTCCCATTCGTCTTTTTTCTCTCCCCCTCTTGCCTCCTCCTGTCCCTCCTCTACCTCCCATTGCTGTTTCCCCTCCCCGTCTCTCCTTTCTACCCACTCCTCTATGTCCTCTTCTGTTTCCTTTTTCTCTCCTCCACCCTCAGCCGTTCATTCTACCCTCCATCCTCCTTTTCTTTCTTTTCTCCACTCTCTCCTTCTCCTCTGTGACCAAGCTCTTTTTCCTCTACATCCTTTTCTTCGTCTTGTGAGATCCATACTCAACTAGTTCTGTTTTGTTTTTCATTTTTCTCAATGTTGTCATATGGATGAACGCCATTTTGGTTGTATTGTTTTTATTCTTATTGTTGTGTTTGTGTGTCTTGTTTTCCTTTCATTTCTATCACTCCCCTCCTTTTTTGTTTGTTCCACAACTCCTCCTCCCCTGTCCCTCTCTCTCTCCTCTATGAATTTCTTTTTTTTTCGTTTGTTTTTTTTCCTTCATTAACTTGCCCATGCACGCATGCAGCAGCCTGATTATAGGGACCAATCAGAACCGGAGGTGGAAGGTCAAACTGAGGAGAACAGCCAATCAGACATCAATGAGACTCAAAAGCAGGAAAGCAGCCAGCTGGAACAGGGAGAGAAGGAGGCAGATGATGCACTGGTGAGTCGCTCAAAATCTCAATCATTCACATCACGACAGGCACAAACATACACATTAGAGAACTGCAGGGGCCTGAAATTTCAGCCCTGGTGCGTCTCACGGCTGACAGCGAGAAATATTTTCAGAAAGAACCCGAGTTGAGCCTGAAGCCAGAGTTATAATGTCAAATTTCTCTCACTTTCTCTTGTACACACAGACACACAAACAGTAAGGGTTCAGCCTTCAAGGTAAAAAACAAAAGGTCTAGTCTGTTGCTGTATTAGCCAGACCCTTATGATGAAGTAACTAAGTAAACTGACTGGAAATGACAAAAACGACAACAAAAATAGAATATCTCTCAAAAATATATTTGTGTGCTTTCTTGCCAAGAGTTACATGAGGTGCGACAAGTTCAAACAGCACACAGTCATGCTTGGCCATCAGCTGTGTCCCTAAGCTTTACCCTTTCTGTCTCTTACATTTGACTCTACACCGATCAGTAATAACATTATGAGCACTGACAGCTGAAGTGAATAACAGTGATTATCTGGTTATCATGGCACCTGTCAGTGGATGGGATATATTAGGCAGCAAGTGAACATTTTGTCCTCAAGGTGATGTGTTAGAAGCAGGAAAAATGGGCAGCGTGAGGATTTTAGAGACTTTGACAAGGGCCAAATTATGATGGCTAGACGACTGGATAACAGCATCTCCAAACCTGCAGCTCTTGTGGGGTGTTCCCGGACTGCAGGGGTCAGCACCTATCAAAAGTGGTCCAAGGAAGGAAAAGCGGTGAACCAGAGACAGGGTCATGGGGGGCCAAGGCTCACTGACGCACGTGGGGAGCAAAGGCACATGCATGCATCACAGTTTGTTGGTATGGGGCTGCATAGCTGCAGACCAGTCAGGGTGTACAGGTTGTCATAATGTTATGGCTGATTGGAGTATATCAAAGGCTTGACACCTGACCCTTCTCTCACCCTGTTTGGGTTGCCCGTGGATAATGCCATTGCCCAGGCCACCTCACTCTCTCACTGCTAGTGAAGCTCCCCATTCTACAACAATGGAAGTCCACCAATGGCTGAGGAAGCTTGGACTTTGATCTAAATGGTAAATGGACCTGTACTGTATAGGGCCTTTCTAGTCTTCCGACCATTCAAAGCCGCCCTTATATAACCTTGCCAATAAGAACAACATCTTCCTGAAAATTTGGAAACCGTTGCAACAAATGGTCATCAATCCAGCAGAAGTGAATGGACTCTTGTGCTTGACAGGATGAGACGAGGTCTCAATCATGGTGTATCACATTCACATAACTTTGAATCATAGTTTTTGTTTTCTGTCTGTTTCTGTGACAGGGTCAGTTTTCACAAAATCAGAACCCTGAAGGCATTTTGTGATTATTTATATTGTACAACATTTCTAGGGGTATTAAGGGGTTCTGAATCCAAATCTGCTGTATATAAAGCTTAAAAATGTCCCAAAATGCCTTTATTATCCTTTAATTTCCTGAAAAATAACTATTATTCAGAAATGTGAATATTTGTCAATCATAGTTTTATGTTTATAATGGACATTTCTCTATCTTGGGTAGTTGATAGTAGTTAGAAAATTAGATAAGAATATTGTAACAACTCTCTTGAAGCTATATCCAAAAGGCATGATTTTACGCAACTCGCCATAAAAAACATGTAGTTTACTAAAAAACTTGTAGTTTACACATTTCTATCTGTGTACAGATGAAACACCCAAGATATAATTTATTTAATTAGCGAGCTCTAGAGATGTTCTTAGGCTGATTTTTACTTGACAGAGCTAGGCTAGCCATTTCTGTAATAGTGGCAAGAAAAGAAAGAAGCATATTTCCCAAACAATCAAAATATTCCTTTAAATCCTCTCACCCTAAGATAATCATAATGATGAATCAACAAGCAGCTGCTTAATAAATCAAAACTAACTCACCGCTTGAAATTATGAGACACAACAACAGTTAAATTAAACATTGGTAAATCAACCAGCACTATATATCACCTAATATTATTTATCACAGATAAATGAGTGTTGGTGTATATGTCAGCTGATAAGTTACAAGAAATTGCAGTACAGACATTCCATTGAGGTTATTAAGAGAGTTTGTCTAGTGTCTCTATTACATTGTTTTTTTCCACCAGAGAGCACTGACAAGTAGATTTTTAGAAGAGTAAAACGTCCCACTCAGTATCTTGGTCACAATAAAGATAGGGATCCGTATCAAGATGCCATGTGTTTGTGTTTATGAAAAATTACTATCGGCCGATAAATCATCATATGATTTTTTAAAATCTCAGATATCAAATACTGCCTCAAACATCCAGTATCAGTCAGGGAATTTTTGTTATGATATAATTTAAATATTGTAGGTATAGGAGGTTTTCAACTGCATCTCATGGTCTTCCTTAGCCAAGGAGTTTGCTCAGTTCTCATCATGGGACCTAGTTTCCAATGTCAAGAATTAAATTTTTATGCTTAGTATTGATATTTATGTTACTGAATCAAATACAAACCCTAATTATGAAAATTGGCCTCTAATACATGTGTCTGCGGTGTGTATACACACACACACACACACACACACACACACACACACACACACACTCGCTTGCAGTAACTGATGTGGTACAGTGGTGGCAACTCATGTTAGCAACACAGTTTTATAAACAAACATAAACAGTGACTTCACCCTCAGATGTGGGCCCGACAGGAAGACCTTTGTTTGGTTGACCTTTAGCTGGTGTGTCTCCATGGTAACCGGGGTGTATGTGTCTGCATCTTTATCCAAGCCTGAGAGGGTGAATGTGAGAAAGAGAGACAGATAACAAGAGAGAAAGTCAGACAGTTGTTTTTGTAGCTGCGACAAACGGAGCAGTGACACAGCAGCACATACACCCAGTGTTTATACACACTCAGTATTCAGCATGGTACTGTAACTCATACCCAGCAAATGTAGTTTGTATTACAGCTCAACGCTATTTCTGGACATCATCGTCATCCATCCATCCATCCACCCAGTACTTCTGTGCAGCGTCTGCAGCTAGAGTGCGAGTTGCTAAATACAGTCATCGACCACAGGTCTTGATTTTGGTCTCACAGGCACAAAATGGTACCAAACCTGGCAACATCACTGGGATGACAAGACTCGCACAGTCACTGCACCCAGCTCACCAGAGGTAGTTACAGCACGTAACGGCGCCTAAAGCTGCAGATTGTCCTTTATACATGTTTGTGCACAGATTAAACAAACAAGATATGAAGTGTTAATTAGTCAGCTTTAATAGTGCTGGTTGATGTATACATTTTAACTTTGGATGGAGCCAGGAAAGCAGTTAGCCACTGCTTCCTGTCTTAATGCTAAGATAAGCTAACCACGAGCTGAGTCCATAAGAGGTATGATGTTTCCAGCACAATTAGAAGTGTACTTTTTTCTCTCAAAGTCAGCATTCTGCATTACAGTGGATTTCTTTTTCTTCTTCCAGAAGGTGAAATCTTAAAAAAATAAAATAATATTATATACTTCTCAGGTTTATGGAGATAATATATTGCAAAGGTTTTAAAAGCCTCCTTGCCATCATCTAGCTCACTATGAATACACATTTATGGTCACATTCTTGTACTAAAATATTGTAAAAAACATTTACTGCATAGGCTGTACATTTTCACTAAACACAATAACTCATGGTGAGTTTGTATTTATGTCAGTTGCATTTCAAGTTCAGATGTACTTTTTGTATCTAGTGCCAAATTTGAGTGCCATTTTCTATTTTTATTTCACTGTTGTTGCCTTCATGATCATATTTAAGGTTTTTCATTCAAGTCACAGCTGAAGGTTACGAAATACGAAAATGTGATTTTCTACCTGAAAACTGTACAATCAATGAAAAATAGCTGTTTCTTGTATCTGGTACAGTGTTTAGGATTGTATGGATGTTACTACAGTATATATGTGTTTTTGTTACACACATTTCCATATCTGTATAGTCTAGATAAATACTCAATACTGAGTTTGTTCCGGGGTATGTGCAATTACAGATCCATAGAGGCATTATTCAATAGAATGACAAATTACAATATCAGAGTTGCTTATTAAACTATGTCGAACAGTTTAAAAAAAAAAAAAAAAAAAGAGGTATACTGAGACATTTTGGCAAATATGCTTATTGGCTTTTTTGTGTAAAGTTACCAATCTCATATCTGTCTGTTAAACATGAAGCAACAGCCAGGAAGCAGAGAGAAACAGTTAGCCAGGCTTGGAGTGCTGCAACTATTTCTCTCTGACTTCCTGGAATATTGTCGTCACCACGAGGGATCGCGTATAGTAACTTTATGGCATGAAATCACCACCCAGTGATCTTAGAGTGTGCTAATTGAGTTATTCTTAAACTGTCTTATTAGAGTATTATATTTATATTCATATCGTTTATATCTTGCACAAGCAGCTGCCACTTTTTCACAACTCGTGTGTTATTTTGGAACAGCAGTCAGAGTAGTTTTTCTGGCTGACAGGGGAAGCTGTGAGGGGCCGGGGTGGCGTTCTGGGTGGAGGGTGATGGAGGGCAGAGGCTGAGTCCAGTGGAGGGTGAAAGAGGACAATAATGGTATAGTGGTGGGTCGATGGATCGCACTCACTCAGCAGCCAAATGAGGCGTGGGGAGCGTGCATGAGATGAGGCTTGTGTGTGTGGACATACAGTAGCGTGCCACGGTTGAGGTGTGATTTAAAGGGTGTTGTAGCACAAAACTGCCATGTTATGTGCTTCTCACACTCGGCTGTTTCTCCCTTTTTCATTTCCTTCCAACTCTCTCTTCCATGGCCACTTTTCCTTCCATTGCTACTTTTATTCTTTTTCTTCTTCATCCTCCACCCTCCCCATCTTGTATGTTTCTCAATCCACTGCTTTTTTTCCGTTTCTTTCTTTCTCTCGTTCAAATCTTATTTTTTCTTTCACTCCATCCACCTCTCCTTCCTTATCTTTTTCTCCCCACTCATCCTTTCCTCATCTCCCCTGTTCTCTCCTCCAGCCGGTCCAGTCCAGTGACCTCCAGGCTCGGCTGTCTGAAGTGGAGGAGTCGGCTCTCGGGCCTCATGAGGAGTTGGAGAATGAGAGGCTGGCTCGGAGAGAAACCACTCTGAAACTCACACAGGTCAGTTTCCAGCACTGAATACTGTCAAGACACACAAACTAATAAACTAAACTTGTAAACAAAACACCCTCAAACGCAGACACAGACAAGAACCCACTTATTTTGCAGTCAGGCTAGAATTACCCTCTGTTGTTGTTTTTGTAGAGTAAGTGCTGTTGTTCATTGGTATGTTAAGTCTTGAAATGTCCTGAAAATGATGCTGTTAAACTTAAGGCATTGGATGCTGTTATTGAAGTATTTTAAATCCTAAATTTGGTTTTGAAGGTCTAAAAATATGATTTTTTGGTAAATTCCCTATGTTCTGTTGACATTTCTGATTGGATTTCCAGTTTTCTTTGTAAAAGGTTTTAATAAAATCTGAAAAGGCTCAACAACTGCAGCTAAAAGTAAAGCAAAGTTTAGCATCCATGGTCTATCTGTGCTTAACAACATTCATTATTATTTGGTTTTAGAGAATGAATAGGCTTTTGGTGACTTGTTTCTTGAATTCCTTGCATTGTGAAAACATGGAAATCTTCCTTTAACGTGCATATTTGTGAGGACACTCACTAAATCACACACTTCATTCATGTCTCGCATTAGAAGCACATAAATGGTTTCCTGTCTCAAACTGTCTTTCCCTCTCAGCTGCAGGAGGAGCACCGGAAGGCTCTGCTCCGCCGGGACTTCCAGCTGCAGAGTTTGGGTCTTCAGGCTCGGCTTCAGCAGAAGCTGTGGAGCCAGGAGAGGACTCTGCTGGTCCAGGAGTCTCAGCACCTCAAACAGGCCCTGTTACTGCTCAGCCTCAAACTGCGCTGCTTCCTCAAACAGTGGAGGCTGGGCTGCAAGAAGGACACAGAGTCGAAAGACATCTTGGAGGTATAAGGGGACACACAGGAAAATGGCCCACAGCTATGTTTTATCTTTTGTCAGAGTCAATAGCTGACTGTCAGCACTGTTGACATATGTCCTTATTTTGACCTGAAATAGTAATTTATTTTGCAGCCAGGCTGTGTATCTAAAGTCTGTATTGTATATCTCCATTTGTGCTCAAACTGATGTGATCTCAGGTTGAAACTGGTTCTATACAGAAAAACTTATTTATCTTACTATCGGAACAAATCACTTAGTGTCACTTAAAATGTGATATAAATGTTTTAAATATTGCAGCTAGATGGAAAAAAATCATGAAAGAGATCAAGATCAAGTGTGTGTTACATAATATCAGAGCCCGAGATGAATGACGCTGCTTTCTGATTGTTTTTTTAGATGAACAGCCTTAAAGACCTCTACCTACTCTTGGAGGAGGAGAACCTGACGAGCCCCGCCCACCAGACGGACAAGAGGGCCGCTGCAGACGAACAACCTCTCAGCCCAACTATCAAGGTAGGTGGAGTGACACACACACACACACACACACACACACACACACACACACACACACAAACACACACAAACCTCTGTGCCTCTCTTCCCCTCTAGTCCAGCGCTGTGACTAGCACCTTGGCAGACCTGAAGGTGGCCCTGCAGGATCTGAGTGGAGAGTTGCGACAGGAGAGACAAGGCTCCCAGGAACTCACCCAGCAGTTCGCAAAGGCCAAGGCATCGTGGGAAGTAGAGAGGACCGAACTGAAGAGCCTCATCACACAGGTAAGAAGTATTACTGTGACGGGAAGCGTTTTTTTTTTTAATGTACTACTACAGTTTAATATTGATGCCTCTATATAACCTACATAAACCAACCATCAGTGAGAAGCTATTTCTATACACTTATTCTTAATGACTGTCACCGGGTCGGATTCAGTGAGATTCCCCTTGAAATTAATAAAAGGAGGCGGCGGAAACACTACCGCTTTTGTCCACGGGGGCCGCCAGAATCAACACAAAATAAAAGTTCCTCGTTGTTACTTTAAGAAATTTGCTTCTACACTTGTGCTGTTTTTGCTACTCACTGGTTTAATGTGGGCAGGACAGTGGGAAAGAGGTGATACCACATATTCCTGTGCACCAATCAGGATTCTGCAGTGTTTAAAGCAGAATCTGATGACAGTTGTTGGGTTGTTTGCACATGTTGCCAGGCCAGGTGACAGAATCGGGAGAAAGATGTTGACATTTAAAAGCCATCAGATACTCGAGCTGAGAAAGTCAGGCAGAGCTAAATGAATTCAGGACCGGAGAAACACGAAGGCATCGGGGAGATTAAGGAAGGTGGCCTCCTCTGCAAATCAGTGCAGGAGCACATCGTCCATTAACTACAGCAAAGGTTGCAACCGACAAGTCAAAATAGAAAAGCTACGTGTAAATCCAGGTGACTTTTGCTTGAAAGTCTGTGCTCCTTACTTGGATGTAAATGGAACGGTTATAGTACAACTGTTGGGCAGCAGACAGACCAAAATAGAATCATTTGTACTTGTGGTATTTATTTTCACTAACAGACTTTAAAATTGATGACATCTGAGGTGGTTAGTTTCTATTTCCAAATCTGTCAAGTAGCTTATATTTGTCCACCCGAGCCTTTTATCCCTTCTCTGTCTGTCTGTCTGTCTAGTCTACAGACGGAGTAATGGATTTAATGGTTTTTTTCTCTCCTCTCCTCCCTAGTTGTCTCTCTCTGTCTCATAACAGCAGCAGAGGCGGTAATTGTGTAAGTGTTAATTAACAGCCTCTGAGATATAACACAGCCCGTGTGTTACCAGCTAGGAACTGAAACAGAGAGAGAGATAAAAGAGAGAGAAAGGAGAAGTCTGAAGTTGGGCAATTAAAAAAACCTTTTCATGTGTTCTTACCTCTTGTCCTTGAGTATGTGATTCTACTGTCTATCATTATGTACCATATATCTGTCAAAACAGCATGTTTAATATACATTTCCAATCAATACTCCACCCTTATCCTTTCCTGTAAAGCCTACTCTGACAGATCTATATAGAAAGATCATATAGATAAAATGTGAACTTCATCCTTAGGATAAGCAGCCCTAGAAGCATTAACACAAGTTGGAGGCCGTCATTTAGCAAAAGCATATCTTCCATTTGCCCAAGAGTTTTGGTTCTTGTCAAGGTAGCTTGAAATTATACATGCATTGTCATTATTTGACAAATAGTCTGTCAGATTCCCTTCCAGCATTACAGAAACATCCTGTTTCATGTGAAAACAGGCCATGATTTGGTGATAGTTCCTCAGAATCACAAGGCAAGATGCAGGGAAAAAGTCACACCCACAGTACCCAGAAATAGACCAGAATGCAATGCAGCATTAAGAAAAGTTTTGTCGCATTGTTTTCCTTTTACTGAATATAACAAGTTCACTCCTGTTCCATTGGCTTTGTTGAGAGGAAGTCTGGGAAATGTATAGGAGGCCACTGACTTAAGTAGAAGCAGGAAGTGGGGAAGTAAACATATCACATATACAGGAGGGGGGGACATATCAGATACACATAAAACACAATTAGACATGAAATAATTGATCTAAATTCAAATCAGAATATATTTTAAAAAAGTAAATAAGTAAAAAAAAAAAAAAAAATGTTCAATGCAAAGTGATGATTTTCAATACTGTAAACCATATGGGTAGATTAATTAATCATTAACCATAATCTAACCTGATTACTTTAGCCTAATTGTAATCCTAATCTTAAATCCAAATTCTAATACAAAAAAGCCCCTTTATAAAGTAGTAAGTGTCCCCACTGTGAAGGAACCAAAACATAAGAATACACACAGATGCACACACACTGACGTGGTCATTAATCTTCGTCGTGATCAGAGAGATTCTGCCCTCGCGCTGCAGTGAGATCATTTGTCTTCTGATTGGTTTGGCAGCTCCTCCAACAGCCAATAGGAGACAAGAGCAGCGCTACAAAGCGATAACACGCTCTGCTTTTCCTAAAATGTGACGTAGCTGCAGGTTTTTATGAGATTCCCAGACAAACCTTTGTGGCTCAATCAAAGATTGAGTCACCCCGACTGTGCTTTTCAGTGTTGGGTGAAATCAATTCATCATGCCGGATGTTGAAGCACACACAGATATGACTTTTATATTTGAATATTTTTGCCTGCATTTCATCACAAATTGTGAAACACAAACACACATCTGTGCAACATTTTAGTGCCATTATTCTCTTTTCTGACCTGTAAACTATCCTACCAGACTGTGTGTGTGTGCATGTGTGTGTGTTACTCTGGCCTAGATGCCACAGCTGGAACCAATCTCTTCCCTGCCAACAACGCACACTGTAAAGTATGCCATCAATTTGCCCTGCTGGTATGTGTGTTTGCGTGTGTGTGTGTGTGTGTGTGTGTACGTGTACAACCCAATCACATCGGTGCCAAGGCGACCTGGCAGCAGCTCCTCCAGCTGTTGCTTTGTCCAACAAGTCAACTCAATTTCCAACACTTTCCTACCTGTCAAACTGCTTGACAGGAAATTATCTTCGCTGTTCAGCCTGATAAACAAACACCGTCAGTGAAGTAGAAAACGATATCCAGAGCCCTGAAAGCATGCAGTACAACACACGCCTCCTCCCTTTTTTTGTGTGTCTTAATCAGTCATCCATCCTGACTGTAGGACATGTTAGGAACACCTGCTGTCCCTGTGAATGACACACAGTGAGCAGCTGGAAGCTCTGATTGCTTGTTCATCACATCTGTTGAATCCACTTCACTCATGAAGGGAGGATGAAGATAAAGAAGGCGGACGGGAAAATACTTTTTTTTTTGTCTTTTCAGACAACAGAGACGTCAGTGTGCAGGTTAAACGCAGATGTAACACAATGCTAGATGAGCCGTCGAATGTAAAACTAGGATGTTTGTTTCCTCCACAGTGACTCGTATGAGTGCATTCTGATCTGCTGCCTCTGCAGCTGATATCTAGTTCAATTTAAGTTTAACCTACTTGGTTAAAGAAAAAGTTAGACTTATTTGCTTTCTTGCCGAGAGTTAGATAAGAAAATCAATACCCCTTTCATGTCTGTGTGCTAAATATGACAGTTAGCTTAGCTTGGATCAGATCAGTCCAAAGGTTAAAAACTAAATCCACCTAACAGCACCGCTAAAGCTCTCTGATTAACATGTTGTATCTTAACTCATGCTTCCAACTACCCAACATTGTTGGGTTTTTTTTGGACAACCACAAGGCAGAGCAAGGCATTAATATGGTTTAATAAGAAATAAAACCAGGTTATCACAAATGCTTGTTTCTCTGGTGTAGACAGTGTCAGCCCATGAATGCAACTTCTAAAGCCAGTCAAAGAAATGACTGTACTTACAATACAAACCATGATGCAGTGACACTATATTATAAGCAACTTTTTAACTGGAGTGAAAGATCAGTTTGATTTAGATTCTTTTAATCTTAAACTCGGCTGAAAATCTGGTTTATAATTTTCTGTGTTCAAAGCTGCCTCATAAATGTATAGGTTTTAGTTTTAGATTAAAACGTAGTATTATATTTCAGAATTTCTTAATGTATTTTTACTACACATATAGAGTATCAAAAAGAGTCGACCCTATGAGAGGTCCCCACTACAGAAGTAAAACTCTGATTAGCAAAATAATAAAATCTTCTGTAGGCCAAGTGCTATTTATTTTATAATTTATGTGTTCTTTTGTGTTTGTTTACACATATTAGAAAACATGTATTAATAGCCACTGACTGACAGGAAAAGTCAAGATTGAGGTTGAGATGGGGCTTCAGAGCTTCAGTTTAAATCCACAACATGCAAAACAGTCAGCTAGTCACACTGCTATATTTAACATCTGTATCATCTGTATGCATTATATAATATCTAGGCGATGTTTTTATTTATAAACCTGGCACACATTTTGTCTCTCAGGAGTGTTGTGGCTGCCGTAGCATTAACAGCTGAAGGCTGGTATGCAGCACTGATAACATTAAGAGATAACATCAACTTTGTTGTTGTCTTGAAGCAAATATCGGCTGCAGGCAAATAATATGCTGCATAATAATAGCACATAATACACTGTGGTTGCTGTTACACTAAACATTGTTATTGTTGTCAATAATAGACCCTTTGCTGAAACAGTATACTACTGCACAGCATTGATGTTTACAGTGATTGTACTCTTTTGACAGTGATTAAAAAAGAAAAAGGCTTAAATGCCAAAGTGAATAGCAAATCTAGCAGGGTGGATCCCTTTTTAAAAGCACTGTATAGCACAGTGTATATCTTATTATCTCCAACGTTTACAGTAATATTCACATACATGATTGATTTTGTTACTATAAATTTAAGTTTTTGTACTGAAAATGATTCCTAGTTCCTATTATTCCTTGTTATTTAATAAAACATTCTACAGGAAGATCACAGGGACTAAATCATGTAGCTGGAGGAGTAATTGTATATGTTCTGTAATTGGTATAATAATAATAACAATGGATCTAATGATAGTGATATTAACTTATTCCTCTTGGCCTCCCCCTCACAATTTAAAAGCCCCCGTGGGTTTAATTGGTGTTTGTTGCCACAATGCTGATAGCAGTTCCTTGCTCTGTGTTTCTACAAAAACTTCCATGTCTGAAAAATTGCTTCCGGGCAGATACTTGAGGAAAACAGCTGGAAAGCCACACGATGCAGGAGACAAATGTGAAGACAAAAATGTAATCACTGAGTGTTATTTTATAGTAAGAAGGATTTTCACTAATCAGGCCCTGGAGACTTCTGTTGGGATTATTCAAGTAAAACATAATTAATAGATCTCAACTTGATATTCAGTGTTTTAGTTGAATAAATATAAAGTAATTGAACTTGCTAAACGGTGAGTAGCGAGTCGTGAACCAGACGTCTCTCATCCACCAATAAACGCCAGTCATCCAGTAAAATCGCCTTCCTTTGAACGCCTCAGCAGTAAACCTCGTTAAGATCTGGGGCTCGTTAAGCAGCGTTCATCATCAACGAGAAACACTCAGTTGCCATAGGAGACGGGAGCTGGACTAAGTGTGCGTGCGCTGCACTGTGATTGGCTGCCAGACAGTTCCATTAGCACCGTATACGGACGCCAGTCCCACAGAGCCAGACAGAGAGAGGCAGAGAGAGGATTGATGGGTCTGGTGTGTGTGTGTGTGTGTGCGTGTGTGTGCGTGCGTGCTTGTTTGTCAAATTGATGGGGCCCGGTAGTGTCGGCTGTGTGAACTATGAGGCTCAGACTGAAGAGAAGAGAAAGCAGAGCTGCTCATAAAAATTTAAAGCAATCCCACCTACAGGCTCTGTGACAACAGGCCAGATTTATGGAGAGCAAAAAATGGGGTGAGAGAGCTGGAAATAGAAGGTGAGAAAGCTGTAGAGAGGGGTGAGAAGGATGGAGAGAGGGTGAGAAAGGGTTAGAAGTACAGAGGGAGAAGGTAAGAATAAGAGATCTTCAGAGTGGAAAGATAGCAACAGAGTAGAGGGAAAAAATGAGACAATTCCCTAGATTGTGGTTTCTTTCCACTCTGTCCATACTTTATCATGCCCTCACCACAACATGAACATCATTCAATGAGCAGCATTAAGCTTTCAGGAGGATCTCATCTGTGTGGAGGCTTTGCTTTGCCTCCGGAAATCGCCCATGAGATCATTTATAGGATGAAACACAAGGAGACGCTGGGACTTCCCGTTACAAATCTGTGTTTTCTCTGTTTACTTGGAGCAAAGAGATTGGAAGAGACTGGCCTCTGCTGTTTTGAGAGGCAAAACAAATAAATCAACCCGCACTGTTACTGAGAAAATGAGAAGTAAATCAAATTATGGTATCAATAATTGTCCATTTTCATGCTTATCTAACAGCAGCGATTTATACCCAACAAACGAAAGATCCCCACTTACTTAGGATTAAAATCTGGATATTTACCATGATGACTTTTTGCCTTTCTCCAGCTTGAGACCAAAGGAGGCAAAGCAGCAGCAGCAGCTCTGTCCGCCACTGAGCTGGAACCTCCAGACCTGAAGGTGGCGCTCAAGAGGGAGCGCGAAGAACACCAGCACCTCCTGGCCGATTCCTATGCAGCGGTGATGGACCTGACTAAACAGGTAAATGTGTGTGTAAATGTGAGTGTGCAGCAAGTTTGGTTGGCAAAATCTGTGACCTTGTTTGCACAGAAAGAACAAAGTGTGTCATTTGCAAACCGTAAAAATATAAGAGCTTGCAGGGTTTTAATAGCTAATAAGGGTTTTCAGATTCAATTTCAAGTTCTAAAAACTCCACATCGTTGTGGTGTTTAAATTCAAAGTCATATTTCGGTGTACTCTACATACATCTTATTTCCTCCTCTGATGTTTGCCTCTTCCCGTCTCTCTGCTGTGACCGACCTGCGGACCAATCAGATTCAGATCGGAGAGAGAAACTGGGGCAGGGAGAAGCTTGAGCTGCTGGAAAGGTTCAGCCAGGAGAGAGCTCAGTGGGAGCAGAGACTGAGAGAGGCCACTGCACAACAGGGGAAGGTATGATGGGCTGAGTGTGTTTGAGTGTGTGACAGAGAGAGAGAGATGTCAAAGATGAGGAGATAAAAAGCGACTGTATCTTGGGATGATGGAATCTGAGAGGATGAGGGTGTATGAGGACATCTCAAGTGTATCGAGTCATCGGATCAGATGTGTTATTTCCTGGCACGCTTGTCCCAGTGCATTCCATCTCATCCGATGATTTCCCAGGTTTCTCTTAAATTTAATATAAAAAAATGTAAAAACTCAGCGTTGGAGAGCCATAGCTGTCGCAATAAGCTGCGTTCAGACTGACATTAGCATTACACCAAAAAAACCAAGCCTCTTCATTCATTTCACTGGGACCACTGAAAATAAGTTGAACCTTACTCACATTCTTTGTCAGACCACCAGAGTCATAACTCAGTTGAATTGAAATGCAGGGAGAGTTCTCATCTGGACCTCCTTCCATTACAATTGGCTCCATTTTGTAACTATGATGCAATGCAGCTATATAACTTTTTTTTGTTTATCACCGACATTTCAAACCAAGAATATGTTCATCTGGGTCTCCTTCCATTATATACACAACCTCCAGTTTTTAAAGAAAATCATGCAATATGTTCAAATGAATTTAGTTTAATTGCTGTAGCCACTGTAGCTGTTGAAGTCATTGGAACTCAAGACTGCTGTGATATACATGTTCTTTATAAGTTTATGTAAATGTTGAACCACAGCTGTTTACCATAAGCACAGTATGTCTAGACAACTTGCCCACATTCAGTATGACACTGAATATAGATATTTTTGTGAAACATAAAATGACTGAGCAGCATTTTGGCCTGCTCAATCATTGTTATGGTCAAACCTGTTGATCTGTTACTCAAACTGGACGTCCTGGATCGTATTTCATCTTCTCACCTTTACCTGTAGCAACGCACCAACGCAGCTGCGTGTGTGTTTTTAATGCAGTGCTATTTTTGGTCTGAACACAGCTTTTTCAAACTCTTTTATGTACTAGAAGATGGTTAGACGTTGTTTTGCAAAATAGCAGTAGCAGTACAACACTTCACTGTATCCACCAAAAATCCATCCGTCTTTAGGATTGTATTTTTCTCTCAGAATACTTTGTTGATGCTGACAGTAAGCACACAGCTGTTAATGCCATAATGTGAGTATGGAGCATTCTCTGACTGAGGTCGAGCTGCAGTTTAATGTTAAGTTGAGCTCACCAGGAAAAACATGGTCAGTGTGATCTGCTGATTATACAGCAGCACAGTCACTGCCAAGCTGCTGCAACATGTCAGGGAGGGGTGAAGAGGGATTGCATCATTGTTTAAAGTAGTCATTAGTTAGGTTTTCTCCCCACACATACACACAGAAAAAAAGACTAAGACACACAGTTAGTAGGTCAGTGCTCCTCCATCATCCCTCCTCTGTCTGCTTCCTTTTAGGTTTTCAGTCTGAGGGCGTCTTTGTCCTCCCTTTCTCACCCTCTTTCCTTTCCAATCATTCTTTTCTTTGCCCCTCTCTTCCATCTCCTTCCTCTTTCTTCCTCACGCCTATCTGTGGAGTGTGATCCCATCTCACTCCTTCCATTAAGTGGCCGTGTCCCGCATTCGAAACTTGGCAGGAGGCCAAAGCCTGTCATAGTTTAATTCACTCTGTCTCAGTCTCTCTGACTGTATCTGTGTCATGCTCTGTCACCCACAAATCTTATCTATTCTACTTGTAGTACACTGTTGGGCCTTTCAGAGACTTCTGACATTTGATCATAGTGCCCCCATCAGGCTAGTTAGTGGAAAGCTTGCTGGATTTTTTGAGTTACAAATCTTATGTTTACTCATGAATCTATTTTATTTGTGTCGGTTATTTTAATTTTTTTTTATGCATTTCCAATTTAAATGGGATATTGAGGTGGACTGTTACCCAGGGAGAGAAAAAAAAAAGTATTTTATGTTATTGTGGTTTTATTGGTTTATTGGTAAGTATTGAATGTCTAACTTCCAGTACAGAATGCATGTTTTTGAAAAATGGGACCAAAATACATGAAAATTATAATTTTAATTAAATTGGGATTTATTTTCTAGTGAAACTAGATTTTAAAAGAAAACATACAGTAAATACATTTACTGGAGCGTGGGAAAAGTAGTGAAGGGATACCATTTTGTACGGTACAAGGCACATGGCACCACCGTATAATAATAATAATTAGACCCAAATAATAATGTAATGACCAGCTTTTTTCACTCAGCTCCCAGGCAAGCTGAAGAGGCAAATGATATCCAGGAGGCTAACGTTACAAGCTAACGTTACTAGCCAATAGGCTGCTAGTGTCAGTAAAGGAGCCACCAGTGCCACCACCTGTGTGTGCCTATGCCTATAGCCATTGTATTGAGTAAGTCTCTCTCAGTTTGTATGTGTTTGTGTAGGAGAGAGAAGGCACGCATGCGTTCATATGAGTGAAGCAGACTTGAGGAGGGCCCGTTCACTGGACCTTTTCAGGGCCTGAGCCATTTCTGTGGGCGGGCCTGTGTCCAAGTGTTACAGCTCACTCAGTATGTGGATGAAAAATTGAGCTACTCCACAATCTTTCCATGTACCCTCTGGCAACTGCAGGAATCACTGAACTAGTGTATTTTTCGCTTTCTGTCAGTATACTGTACACATCCAGGCAGCCTGGTCTGCAGTTCAGTGAGTTGCAGGTGAAAGTCTATCAGTACATCTTCACAACTAAGCACATTATGCAGATGTCCTTTTCCCTTCTCCCAATGTCTCTCTCATTCGTCTCTTTCCTCTGAGGGGAAATGGCTCCAGAGTGTGAGATCACCTCTCGCAAGTGTGAAACACACTGACTCAGCATCACCTTCTGTGTCTGTGTGTGTGTGTGTGTGTGTGTGTGTGTGTCTTTGTCTTTGTCCTTGTCTGTGTGTGTGTGTGTGTCTTTGTCTTTGTCTGTGTGTGTGTGTGTGTGTGTGTGTGTGTGTGTGTGTGTGTGTGTTTGCACGCTGTCTGCCACAGATAGATTATACTAGTCAGTCTCCACTTCCTTCTGTGAAAACAGCTCCAGAGGAAGTGGATGGCAATAAAGGGAATGTGTCTACAGTGGATGTCTTCCAGGGTGTGAAAAAAAGGTGTAGAAATGAAGAATGCTACAGGAGCGATTTAAACAAATGATGCAGGTCATTTAAATGCAAATAAGCTGTAAAAGTTTTTTTCAGAGATTTTCTTTTCACTAACAGTCTGGGTCTTCTCTCTTCTCACAGTCGAAGTCATTAGGTGGCGAGTCCTCTGCAGACACAGTGGTTGCTAATGGAACTGTATCACCGAGGTAATGTTTAAAAACAACAACTTGCACTGAATTGAATTCTTTGTGGAGAAATCAGAACATTTCTTAAACTCTAGAGTTTAGGACTGTTGGGTTTTTATAGGCAAAATGTTCAAAATGGCTTCATGAACAAGTGTAAATTTATAATCTTGAAAGCAGCGCATGGCATCTCTTCTCCTTTCTCATCAACTCCTCCATCTTATATCAATGAACAGAACCAGATCTACATCGGAGCTGGATGGCCCAGAGGTTAACGGGACAGCCAATCAGGAGGAGAAGATCCAGTTTGCTGTCCAGTCCCTTTTGATTCGCCCAGAACTGGGTGACCTCACCAGGAAGAACTGGACCTACCTGACCAATGAGGTGAATAAGTTACTTTATACATTTATTGGTTTAAATTCTGCAGTTTATTGTGATTCCTTAACTTTTATATCTTGACTTATCTTTGGGAAGACTCGTGAGACAAAGGCTGGATTTATTTCTTTATAATAACAGAGATGTTTCTTTTCTAATTCCTATATTCATCTCTGTGATTGAGACATTAAAGATCCCCTCCAGAAATGTATTACGACATGTTCAAATAGTCTGCTTCGAACAATAATGTCTGTCTGCAAAAAAAAAGTATAATTTTCACATTAAAATCCTTAAAAAGGCAACTACTCCTTCTACCTCATTAAAAAGAATCTATGAATATGCACATTTTGTTCATTTCTAAAGTTTTTGCTGCTGGACACAAGATGTCTCCTAATTCACTGTAAAGCCCCTAAAATCTTTTTCAGTGAGCACAGAGAAACGTTCCACTTTCAGCAGATGAATGTGGAAACACCCTTCTAGTGTTAAACTCTGCACATACATCATTCTGCACAGTGAAGCTCAAACATCAAACTGTAGGAACAAGAAGAAAAACATATTTTATGGGGGACTAAAGTTAGCAGATATATTTGATTTATATGATAATTATTATTTCTGTTCTCTTTTCCCGCCTTACAGCTACTGAAACTGAGGACAGCAGGTAAAATGTGTACTGATAATAATTGTATTCTGGTTTCTCTCCACGCTCTCGTCTCCTCACAGACACCAGAGGTTGGGGACACCTGTAAAACATGGGACGGCCCCACCGGCTCCTACAGCAGCTTAGTGGGATCAGAGCTGGATTTGGAGTCCGTCCAGAGGAGCTATACTGCTCCAGACCGCACTGGCATCCGGATCTACTACAGTCCTCCTTCTGTACGACGTATGGAGCACCGAAGACAGAACCAGGACGCCAGAGAGCCGCAGCAGGCCCAGAACGGGAGCTCTTCCCCGGGGCTGAGTGGCTCAAACGGGGGCGTGGCTGCGGTGGGAACCCTGGAAGTTGAGCAGCAACAGCCTCCATCCTCCTTTTCTTCCTCATATGAGCAGTGGCTGTGCTCACTGTCCAAGCAGCACAGGGAGCTGCTGGAGAGCAGAAGTGGCTGCATCGCCAGTTCGATCCCCATTGTCGTCAACAACGGCATCAGTGGCTCAGCTAACAGTTTGGTTGATGGGATGACGCCCTCGTCAGCTTTCCACGGCCTTGAGATCGGGGAGATTTCAGCCAATTTAAGTGATGACATGAAGGAGATGACTAACTGTGTCCGCCAGGCCATACGCTCTTCCTCTCTGGAGAGGAAATCCACCAAGGAACCAGGAAGTCAGGTAGTTTCTTTTTAAGTGAATAGCCAAAAAGGTTTATATTGTCTGATTTTATGGTCCAACTATTGGTCGTAAAACATAGCTTTATTTAAAAAAAGATGTTGTGGCCACAGTACTTCATCAGACAACTTCAGTAGCTGTTACAATTACTCATCATTGCATTTTCTCCTTCTCCAAAGACACTAAACATTCTCCATCACTTTCATTTCTCTACCCAGGCGGTTGGTATGTCCACCAGGTCCACGCAGACTGCTTCATCGTACGTCAGCATCGGGCTTCAAACCGACAACCTTCCAAACAGCAGAGGGATGGGGTTACACTCCAAAGCCTGGTCTCCTCGCCCCTCTCCAACGACCACCTCCTCGCTGGCATCAGCTCGAACCCGGCAGATATCGACATCACTGGATAAAGTTCACAGCCGCATCGAGAGGCCATGCTGTTCGCCCAAGTACGGATCACCGAAACTACAACGCAGAGTGTCATCTGGTAATTGCGCTTTGTTTTAACATCCTTGGAGTCCAAGACATATTTTCAAGCCAATTTGGGATAGTTGTCTGTGATTGTTAAAATAGCTCCATTGATGTGCTTCGCAGATCTTCAATGTAAGCACTATTTTTTGGAACAACGACATATCCAACTGTTCTGTTTTTAGGCTCCACTTCCAGATTGGATGGGACGTCTTCCTCCAGAGACCGGAGCCTGTGGAGCCTCCAGCAAAGATCCATCAGTGGTGGAGGAGGCTCAGCCTGGGCTCGCTCCACCACCACCAGGGACAGCCCCGTCCTGAACGGCCTCACAGACGGCCTCTCCAGCCTCTTCAGTGTGGTGGAACACTCTGGAAGCACAGAGTCGCTCTGGAGGGGTGACGGAGGTAAGACTTTATGAACGAGGGTTTGACCAGTCAGGTTTTATTGAAATAAAACCTTTTTCATGGAAGACATTTTTAACCATATTTGCATAAAGCAGTAACGTCTCATTCAGAGACAGCCTGCTACACCAGTGGTGGTGCCGGGACCCCCACTAAGGGTCACCAAAGCTTCATGTGGGGTCGCAAGACTTTCTTGATTTTAAGCGGTGTAAGAAAACTTAAAAAATATACACAGGAGGCTTATATCTCAATATTTAGTTCATTTATGTAAAGACTACAAATATAATAGTTATTTTTAAAGTTTAGATTATTATTTAACCACTGTGCTAGACAACACCAGAGCCAAAGAATTTGAACAACAGTGCACAGCTTTTCCTCTCTCCTCTCCTTCTGATCTAACAATTACAAACATGAACATACATCTTGTCCAGCACCTTAGTTTGATGAACAAGCGACATTCACAAGGCTTGTTTGCAGGCTAGATAGCTAAATAGTTCATCAGCTGCAGCACATTAAACATTATGTAAACCTAACTGCAAATTTGGTCTGTTTAGATACTGGTGTGGTCCTTATGGTGCTATGGTGCTATTCTCCCATACCACTGCTAACAACATGTCTGCCTATGACATGTATGCCACAGTGCAGTTTGTTTACTCATTCTCCTGCCAGACAAAGACATGCCTCTCAGGCCGCAGACCGCTGAGACAAAGAGGAGCAATTCTGATATTTCCCCAAAGACCTGTTTTTCTTAGCCTGGTATCAGCAGACTAATTCACAAATGCTAATTAGTCTGGAAACGTTCAGTTCATCTTGCTTTGACAGTCAAAGTCTCCATTACTGTTAATGTCAGTGACTTCACAGTGCAAGTCCCTCCAGGATTCAAATAAATTATCTGTCAACCACGATTCATGGAAATAATTATAATACCCGTCTTTGAACCCTGTTTGCCATTAGGAGCCAGCCAGGGTGCCAGTCCAGCACGGCAGCCTCATGCTGCAGGGAAACCTTCCTGTACGGCACTCTGTGGATCTGACCCCAGCTCTCAGCGGTACGGAGGCCTGGTTCAGGAGTTCTTCAAGAACGTCTGCACAAGCCGTGCCCAGGCAGGAGTCGCTCTGCCTGTGGAGAGAGCACAAAGTATGGGTGTCTTGGGTGGCATGGATGAGCCCAAGCCAGAAGGGGTTGGAGCGCTGGTTGGGTTGGGTGGAAGCAACGACAACGTGACCAGAATTGTCAATAAGAGGTTTATGAGACAGACAGCTGGGGAGGAGATGGTCAGTATCATGGGAGGAGGGAAAGAAACGACGAGCAACGCAGGAGCTGCAGGATCTGGGACCGAGGTGCGGCCATTGCAAATGCGTTTTTATTTTAAACTTAATTAAATGTCTGTGGTTTTGCTTGTTTTAGCCGATTTAGATGAAAATGTAATAAATATCATTTGTAGTTAAGAAGCTATCTTCTTGCACTAGTATGGTCTTTGAATTTTATTTTTAAAACTCATTCAAAAATATCAAAAATATTCATGTATAATATGAAAAGATATTCACACCTGCATGTTTTAGTAAATAAGACATCTTTCCATTTCCCAGGATGCACCCTGTGACTGTGCTGCCCAGTCTTCCTGCCTTGCGCGACCATCAAGGGCAGCAACTCGCCATTCGCTCGGCCAGTGCAAGCACCGCCCACAAGAGTCTCTGGCAACCGAGGAGAAGGGCGACGCCTGCAACGAGTGATGAGACTACTGCCACATGCAACACACACACACACAAAGCAATACTGATTCCTCACAAACACTGTACACCACTGCCATAAAAACACAATTTCGCACACTTCTCACATCACCAAATGTACATACACACCTACAACCTGCCAAGCAGGCACACTGCCAAACACATAACACACACACACACACACACACACACACACACACACACCGCTAGCACACTGCACAGACTGCCCCACAAACCCACTGCCACATGCACACATTCATTAAAACACACACACACAACCCAGGCAATATTACACTTGTCTTGGACTAGACCATTCTAATGCCAAGGACAGGGAGGACTGAAACTACAACCAAGCAACAGATCTAACCATCACAACTACCAGCAGGGCATAAACATAAACACACACATGATCTTACACACTTAACTAAAAAAACAAACAACAAACTGCAAACTGAAGAGAAATTAACAAGTAAAACTACGATGTCAGGACTGGACCTAACAAACCCTCCCCCACCCTACTTTACAGAACAACAGGTACAACATATGGTCAGTTTTGAAGTGGAAAATCCACCTTGATGACACCATGCTGTTGGACCAGCAGCCATGTTGGATTTACAGATAAGCAAGGAGAAAGAAAGAACGTAGTCCCTGTCTGAATATGCATTGAAATATGTTACTTTGGGAGCTACAGTGTAAAGCTGGAGAGGAGACGTATGATGTTTTTTCTGACACACACGTGCTGGGAAAGCCTTCTTGATGGATTAGCACAGTAACGCCTGAGCAAGTGTCTCCAACATGGATATGAAAAAGTCATCTTGATGACACATCTGCTTTGATCGCAGACTAGTTTTCAGTGTTCTTCCTATTGAAATAGATCACTAAAGGAAGAACATAAGGACTACTGGACAACATACCCCCAGCATGACCAGACTTGGACTCCACTGTTGAATGACTTGTGAGCTCTATAAATGAGACCATAAAACTGATCTGAGTGGACCTCCTTGCATTGTTGTTTAGTTGCAAACCTAAACAACAAAAAGCTCTCCAGACTTATTTAGATGTAACTGTGTTCCCAGACGGACTTCAGCCACAAATATGAGGATGTTTTGTGGCATTGTAGCCATGACTTATACCTTGTAGATGTAAGAAAACCTACTTCAAAAGTTGTCACTCTCCGGAGTCTGATTGGAAAATTGCAGTTTTGGTTTGAACCTGTTACAGCAGGCAGAAAGTGCCTGTTGGTTTTCATATTTCTGAGATATTTCTTCACTGATTCACATGTAAACCTCCGACGATCGTTGATGATCTCATGAAGACATGTGGTGCACAGTCCCACAGCACACTGTCCTGAAGCTTTTTCAGTTGGTTACACTGATTGGGGACCATTTCTGATTGCTTGCAAGGTTAACCTAAAACCCCATCCTCAGATTTTGTTTGGTATTGGATAGAGATGCATTGATACCATTTTTTCACTTGTTTTACCAGTTCTTCAGAGCACCTCAAGCACTAGTTTGGGATCATGCTACTGAAACCAAAACCAACACATGAAATGTATTCCATTTAGCTTCATTCTGTTGAAAAAGTACAGAAAATGAAGGTGGTTCGGATTTTCATGTCACCTGTGACTTTTGGGATTTACATAATTAAGAAATGCTTTAATAACAATAATGATATTGACTTGATGCCCATCAGCTTTATCGGTGCATCCCTATCCTCTTCGCTTCATGGCATCAAATATGATGTGTGTGCTCATCTGCCATCAACCAGAAACACTCACTAACTCTAAATCCAAGGAGAACTCAGTCAATGCATTCCTTTTATTAGCGTCTTTCCCGGATGTGTACTGTACGTGTGTGGAGGGGATAGTTTTAAAATACTCGCCTTTTACTTCCTCCTTTCTCTCACACACAACTGTCCTCATGTTGTGGTACCATGCCAACGGCGTTGCTACTGTACGAACCCTATACGCATTTTAGAAATGTAGCATTATAATGTTAATCTTGGAAAGCAACAAGTTAAGAGTAGTTAAAGCACTGAGGGTTTTTACTTTTTAAGAAATACATTCATGAAATGTTTAATTTACTTAATTTGATATCTACAAACTAGTCAAAGTTGTTTTCCTAAATTAAAAATGGGTATCGTTTTTTTTTTTACCTGCGTGGCAGTTCTGACGACATCAAATGTTTTTAAGATGTCTGAACACAAAATATTTACTACTGACACAAATGCTGTCGAGTCTTACTAGGGAATTATAAACATAGAAAAAACACGGCAAACTAAAACCAATCATATTTGGAAAGGGTATTTATTCCATTTACTCCTCCTCTCCTTTTGTTTGCCATCTTGTTCTTTTTCTAATCAATCAACAGATATTTAAAGTGCCTGTCAGATTTCCTATTAGTCAGCTCACACCAAAACTGGACTCCATATAAAAACACACAAACAAACCCAGCAGGCCTTTTTTTAAAATGGGTAAGATTGTTTTTATGCATGTAATTGCGATCAGGCTGTAGTAAAGCTACAGTAAAGTACTGTACCACAGGGGAGGAAGGACAAAATGGTTTACAGGTATAGTAGGATGTAGTATATATTAACTTTTTTTTATACCAAGGGTTATTGTATTTCTGGAAAGTAAATTATTTTTGTTTTGTTTATTTTATATGGACGTTTTTGCTGATATATTACCCTGTTGTTTCTATTCTATTTAGTTATCATGGTGCTACTTAATGTAAAGTCTGCTATGGGCTCGCCTCCTTCAACAAGGCATCTACCCATCTCTCTATTTAAATGTGTCTCTTCCTCTGTCTCTGTATGAGCAGCAGTTGAGCATTTCTCCATCTTTGCACACCATTTAATGACTCAGCAGTTTAAAATAGGGCATTACAGTAACAGTGCATGTATTTAAATAACACAGTGAGGAAAACCCACAGTCTAAATGCTGCTGTCTGTCTCCACTCCAGCCCTCACTGCTGGTAAAAACCAGCCGTCTGGAACCACCGCTTCAAAAGCTACTGGTCTGATTGCCATAGGAATAGGCCGGCTTATTTTTTTGACCACAATTATACAACAACAGGTAGTTTTAGTCAAGCCAGTCTGATTGAAAAGATTTTTAAAAAACTCATATAAACTCTTGCCCTAAAAGCGCAGCTAATAAGGTTGAGTACATGTTACATTATATTTTCGTCTTTTAAAGCTTTTGAGTTTTTAAATAGACACTACTGTCACTGAAGAAAACTAACCTGCTAATACAGATTACAGTATGTATAATGTAACAGATTATACTGGTGCTGTTGGTCCTGTACTGGTGCAGATAAGAAAGCCCGATTTCCAAGCATACCAAGACACAGTCTTTAGTTACTTGAGTTTTGACAACAAAGCTAACACGTTCATTTAGCAAAGCAGCTACAATAGTACATCAGGACTTGTTTCCAACAGTTATATAACATTAATAGCATGGTTAGCTGTTTGCATTTGTTGCACAAAGGTATGCGAATGTTGTCTCTTTAAAATTAAGGTTTTCAGTGGAGTAGGAGGCATATTTTATCAAACCTCAGTACAAATATACATCAATGACCTCGGCTGCCACATTTAGTCTAGTTTGCATTTCAGCATACCAACATATTAAAGTCGCCCATGTTTATTCCAACCAAGAGGTTCAAAGAATCAAGGTTGATAATGATACACTTCCCACTTTTGAGAAATAGCAGCCACTAATGGTTGCTTCTTATGTTAGTGAACAAATTACCGCAGGCTAGCTCACTTGCTAGCCAACATGTTATTGTCTACACTCAAAATAGTTCAGACTCATTAGTATTGTCATGGTAAGAGAGAAATAAAAAAACAACTTAATTAGTTTTTTCCATTCACTGTGCCCCATAAGCTTGGTGTCTCCATTACGTCTAAACATCTCTGTATAGTGTAAAAAGAGCCTGCGTTGGTAGCACTGACAGTATGTTGGTAGACAGTACACAGTGTAACAGCAGGAAGAGCTAACTGCAGGTTGGCAGAAGTCCTGTCTGCAGCAACCACAGTCCAATAATGACTCAGTCATACCACAGTCTCTCCCACCACACACCAGGATGAATAGTCTCAAATAACAAAGGAACATTTATCATGCCCTAATATTAGGTTTGGCATCATTTCTGCTTTTTGGATACACAGCAAAACTACAGAATGGGTCATGATAAGCCATTAATCTTGGATTCATTCCTAAACTCTTTGCATCACATTTGAAATCCAAACATGACCACATGTAAAACTGCAACAGATACCAATAACAGGTCCAAACAATCAATGGTATTTTTGTTTTAAAAATTGTAAAATAAAAGCACAAACCTGAAACTAATCTACTTTAAAAAAAATGGACGGTTGAAGGTAATTTTGAAAAGAGATTTTGGTATAATGTACAAAACAGAAAGTAACTTTAATCATTCAGAATATCCGTACAAATATTTTGTTCTACCTCTTACATTTATATCATATACTCTGAGACACGTCATTAACTAACACCAAACATAATGTGTCTTTAGTGTAATTGTGCATCTTCTGAACATATTTGATGCCTGTGTACCAGGGCCTTAGTCCTATTGTCATTTAGTCTTGCTGTCAATGAGAAGGTCACTTTGTGCCTTTCCTCTACAAAGATGTCTCAGTTTAGTTAAAACATTTATTTTCCTGCAAACATTTGGCTCTAAACTATGATGATCCAGATGAATTTCATCGGGAGTTAAGATTAAATATCGTAGGTGTAGACTTATTTGTGTTTACATTCATCCTCAGCGGTTGCTCTACTACATACATTCTGACGGACAATACGTGTTAAAAGCCAATAAGGGACCTCAGTGTCAAGGTTTCAAGGGTACATTATGCCTTAGAAATGAGTTTTGCTTCACTTTTGTGTGACCAGACCTGCAAATGGTGGGAAATTTGGACCAAGGTTACGTTTTGGGTAAATGTTTCATGTTTTTAACTGATTTGAACACATAAAATAATTGGTTGGTATCACTTTAAAACACAAGTAATAGTAATTAGCAATATAGTAATTATTTAATATTGATTTAACAAAAAACCATATGTGACATCATTGCTGGAAATGCATCTCACAGCTCCTACTGGTATTTTACTGCAACACATTTTCTTGCATTTACTGTCAAAATCTGAAATGGCGCAGTCAGCATAACACTCAAATCTCTCTCCAACTCTGATGTCATCGGTCAGTTCTGTCTCTGCCTCTCCAGCCTTTCCACCTGCCTGTCAGGTGTTATATTTGCTCCTCCCCCTCAGGTTATAAGTACTAGGCGTTGCAGCCAATGACAGACAGTTTTACAGGTCACACAGCATCACCAGCCAATGACTGATGAGTTCTTACAGGTTGCATGTCATAAACCACGAGTCTCATTGTTCCCTGTGTGTGTCCGTAAACCTGTCAGAAAATCTACATGAATCTTTCCAGCCTTTTTAAATGTTTCCATACCATTCATATGATTATTACATCCTGGCAATATGTACATGAATTCTAAGCTGTTCATAATGTTAGCTTAACTATTACCTAGAGAGACTGCCTGCTTGTATATTCGCTTTATATATCCTACTCTTGTCTTTTTTAATAACGCTTGATTCTTGAATAAACGGAGAATGCAATGAAAGACAAATAAAATGAGTACGCAGTAAGTAAATTTGTCCCTGTGTAATTGCAACTAGAAAAGAAAGGAAAGGTTTGTACTCTGTCCATTTGTTTCTTTGAGAAAAGCTGAATGTCAACAGCTGATCTGAACCAGGTCGCTGTGGAAGTATGTAGCTCTCTCCCTTTATAGACCACACTTGAGCATTTCTTCTGTACATAGGTGCATTTTGAAGCGGATGAAAAACAAAAAAAAGGCAGCAAACATTAACTAAGTAAAATGAGAACATTTGATCAAAGTGGATTTTTAAAGGGTTGGGGATTTTAGTTTTTTCCGACCAATGTAGCCTGTAACGAGATATTATAACTGCCTCCTGTTTGTCATAGAATTCACAAATAAATGTTTGTTGGTATTTAGCATGGTTTGTTTTCTCGTCATTTTGTACATTTTGGGTAAAATGATCGTCCTTCCCTTCTAGTTGTCAAACATTCATTGCACAGTTAAAGTAATAAAACACCAAGCATGACTATAGTGAAGTTAACAAAAGTATCATTGAATCATAAAATAAAGACTATAAGGAGAGGAAGAATAAAGTTTACCACATTCCTCATACCTAAATGACAAATTAGGTCATTTGTTACAGAAATGTTTCTGCCCCAATGTGGTTAAGTTTCATTTAGCACCCACACTGGGTCAGATTTTTAGTTTGTCTGATACTTTGTTGGGTCAAAGAAGAAAAACAAGGCAGGCTCAAAAACATTCAGTGTTTTTTATGGGGATAGTAAATACCCTCAATATCAGTATAAGGCCCTAAATTAAATTAAATACATAAAAATAGAATACACTGCATTATTAATGGCCATTTTTCTAACAATACAATACTTTACCTTGTTTATTTAGAACTTTACTATCTTCACTTTCTGCCCCAGAAATGCCCACAGATGGGAATAAAATGATGTCATTAACTTGCCTGAGCTGTGAAAGTCCATATTATCTCTAGGAATACAGGAGAGCTTAGGATAATCCTAACCCATTAGGTGGAATGGACAGATGGTATTTTTTTGGGACAACATTTAGAGAACACTCATAATATGAAAGATAGAATTATACAGAGAAAGTAATTAGGCTCCGGTAACTGCCTGTTCCCTGTAAAGCTGCCAAAACTGTAGACTAAATAAACGCATTATTTGATTATCTGTGAAGCTATATTCATTTCATCCTTTTGTTTGTCTTGAATCCCCAAATGGCTCCAAATGGCAACAAATCTGGTGGGAGGGAAACAAGAAATAAAGTGAAATGTAAATGGGATAGAGGCCAGAGAAAATTAAACTGAGCTGAAAAACATTTCGATGGAAGGAATAGGGACAAGTGAGTGCAACAATACAGCAGTTGCTGTCTGTACAACAAAATAGGGATATCACAATACCAGAAATTTAGTATAGTAGTACTAGTGAAATTCCAGGATTCTCGATACCAATTCAATACCATAGTAAAAAATGTTTTCCCTCCAATCCCCATTTAATATTGAGTCCCAATACAATACTTGTATTTTCCTTAATAATACAGGTGAATAGCTCTGCATTGCATTAAGGAAAAAATTGCCTGCAACCAAGCTGTTCCTTCATGTTTTTATAGATAATTTATTAATATTAATAAAAGTATCCTGCTCCAGTGTGGCCAACCTGAGTTACTTGTTGAGTTGTTTATTTTCCTTGCCTGTACATGTTTTGCATAGATTACATTCATTACTTGCTTTTTGTTCGCAGTGGTTTTGTTGCACTTGCAGTGGCGGGCTCTCCATCGCTCTCTGTCTCGCCTTTGACCAGGAGCTCAGCCTCGCCCACAGTGGTGTTTCACTGTGGGTAGAAAGAAACGGCCTGTAGTCATCGGAAAAGAAAGCGGCTTTGAATTAAAGAGCAGTGGACCTTGAAGACGATCCACCCTGTCAAACGACCGGATGGGACCAACCCATCAACATCGGGTGCTGTCGACAGAGCGCAGGACGAGAGGAGGCGGACTCAGTGCCTTAGCAGTCAAACTGGATGGACACTATTTCTTTTTATGTGAAGACCATGTTATCATCACAATTTTGTTGCAGCTATGCAGATGCAAGATAGGGACTTATTATAGAATGGGACATTTTGAAGGGATGCAGGTCAAATCCCTTTGGTTCCACTTCCTTCCTATAGCAGAATCTGTGTTTCTAATTAAATCAGATCTAAATCAGAGCTGTTTCTGTTCTCCCTTATTTGCAATACTTAATCTGTTTTGATCCCTTTCTCAATTTGTCTTTATGCTCTCTTTCCTATTTCTGTTGGCCTCTTTTTTCTTACTGCCTCCACCTTTTACTGCTTCAGTCTCTTGCTTTCTTTGGCACTTTTGTCTTCTGTGCTTCTCTTCTCACTGTTTGATTTATTCCCGCCCTCTCCTTCTACCTCTACATGCCCTACTTATGGGAGTAAAAACAAGCTAGAGAAGGATGCCAGCAGCCCTGATGGACAGACAGGAAGTGACCTCACCATAGCAACATTTGAAAACAAAGGGATAACTTCCTGTTTTGACTGAACTAAAACCTAAGAGAAGGAACGGTAATGCTGGGTAGTTTGAGTATTTTGGGGACTGGTTCCTCAAAGCTACATTATAAGTTGGTTGATGATTCTTGTTAGAGGCTATTCTTTTCATTTTTAGACCTGGACCTACTATACATAAATGATTATTATATTATTGTTGTCATGACATCTACAAAAGTTTTTTTTTTAAGTATATGGTTTGATAAGGTATCGATTAAGGTATTTCCAAATGCCCAAAATGCAACAGGATTTCTGCTCCCCTGAATTTAAATAGTGCATCCTGCTTGTTAGTTTGCATTGTTGTTTAGTCACTAAACTGTCCAATGTATAGTAATGTAGAGTATTTTTTTGGTACATTGAGTACTTACACATACAGCTTGCTGAAGATCAAAGTTCTTTCTTACACAAATCAATTTCCAATTCTAAACCTAATTGCTAGTGTCTACTAATCAAACTGAAAAGGGTAATCAGGGCACATTAATATTCCAACAAGAATAGATTTACTTGTTCCTCAACTTACAGCTTCAGTTAGGGGCAATTTAACTGATTTTGAATCCCACTTCAGGAGTCAAAGGTATATGGGTATAGGTATAGCTTTAACTCCAGGGCTGCTTCCCTGTTGAACCAACTCAGAATGTGGGATTAAAGGAGGTGTAAAACTAAAGAACATTATGCAAACATACCTCTAACTTTGTTGTAACTTTTACTTGCTTTTATCTTTTCTAGGCTTCTGCTTCAAAACCTTACCCTGCTTGGAGATTTAAATCCCACAGTGAGGTAATGAATGGATTTCACTGAAGTCTGAAAGCACAGGATGCCATGCTAACTGCAGTCAGACTCAGCAGGCACTGAGGTAAAAGATATAGATCTGTGTGTGTGTCTGTGTGTGTGCGCGCACAGTCTTAACCTTGCTGAAATATATATTTATAACCTTGCGTATTGTGGGAAACTTGAGGAGGTCTTATGTCAAAGTACTCACTTATCTGTCCATCTATCTCTGGAAATGGGTTGGCGGAGTACCCAAGCCCACTTGATGTGCGTATCGCAGTTATATGACTGTTGTGAGAGTGATAATCCGCAGAATGGGCAGGCCAGTCATAAACATTAACTGTCTTATTAATATCGGATGGCTTGCGGGTTGGTGAAATAGGGTGATGTGTATCCCTATTATGAGAGACACAGGCACAGTAGTGTAACTTAATTGATTATTTAAAGGTGCAGTGTGTAACATTCAGGAGTATGTTTCGTTAGTGTATAATCACCTGAAAATAAGAATTGTTATATTTTTGTTACCTTAGAATGAGCAGTTTTTATCCACAGAGGATCGCCTTCCATGAAAGCTGCCATGTTGAACCACCATGTTTCTACAGTAACCCAGAATGGACAAACTAACATTTTCACGTTTTTCTAGATCGAGTCACGGTAGTTTCAGCCTTCACACTTGGAAGGGGAGGGTGTAGTGAGGGAGTAGCAACTACACAACTAGATGCCACAAAATCCTACATAGTAGTACTTTAACAACAAAAATACCTTCATATTTGTCAGTTTATCACAACAGACTGGTTTAAAAGAACTGGAAAAGAGGTGAAAGCAAAGGACAAAGGGATTTATTCCCATCCCTGTCCAACTGGAAAGTTCTGGGATCTGCTAGTATGTACTAGGCATGTAAATTTTAACAGAAATAAAACTAATGAAATATGTGTGTGACTAATGGTTTGGTCCTATCTGTACATCTATCTTACATAATAAAGCTGGACACACACACACACACACACACACACACACACACACACACACACACACACACACACACACACACACACACACAGGAACACAGGTACAAATACAGGATACAGCCAATGAGGCTCCAGTAATTAAAACTGAATGCACAGAGAGGAACTCCAGCTCTTCACTTGAGACTAAATGCGCGCACACACACACACACACACACACACACACAGACACACACACACACACTCTCTATCTCTCTCACACATTCCGTTAAATGTTTGCCAAGAGTCAAATCTATTCTGAGAGAAGGGAGTAACTTTCCTTTCACAAACACTGCCTGAACATTGTCAGGTCACTTTTACCTCAAATAAAAACCCAGGCCCTCATAACAAATGACAGTTCAGGTAACTATGGATTTCTGCAGCAATAACAAAAACATATCCAATATCAACTCCTCAACAGCAAGAAGGCATTTACGTCCACTCCTATCTGACCTTTCCTCACTCTATTGTATGTCCCCTCTCGTTATTTATTTTGCAGATGATCAAACCATTATATGAGAGCCCTTGAAGTCTGTGTTGGGGTCAGTGGGTGCAAGAAAGGAAGAACTCGCCTTCTAATATTCCCCGAATAATAGTGGATGGATAGAACACAAGAATTTATTTTTGCTCTATGTAATACTCTGGAACTTGAGTTGAATTTGTGCTACATTTGCTGGCTAATAACTGGTATATTTACCTCTTAAAATCGACTATTTTAAGCCTTATAGTTGCAACCTTTGGGTTTCCAAGTAGAACCACCCCCTCCATCCCTCAGGTCTTACCACTTACCACTCGCCAGGTCTGCCCTCCCTCTCCTCTGCCAGCCTGGTTGCACCATTTCTCACTCCTTTTCAGCCAGAGCCATCTGGATGCTGTCTCTGTGTGCCTGGTGATGTCTGTGACGAATGTCTAGCAGACTGGCCCTCTAACCCCAAGGATACCCAGTGCTCTCCAGAGTGACTGCCCTGGGAAGCCCCTTCTGACTACGGGACCACCTTCACCTCCTTACTCAACTATAGTTATTACCAAGGTATTTAGTCAATTACTTACCAAGTGATTTACTCAATTTCACCA